CCCCCGGGGGGGGGGGGGTGTCCAGCCCCTCACGTCCCGTCCCCCCGCGGGGGTGGCCAGGCCGGTGCCAGCCGGGCTGCCCAGCCCCGGTATCGGATCCTCCCGGAGGGAGGGGGTTTGGAGCTTATTTAACGTCCCCCGGCGGCCCCGGCCGGGCGCACTCGCGGCACGGGGAGCTCAGGTGAGCGCAGGTGGATTGTGAGGGGTCCCCCCTACCCCAGAGGAACACCCCCCCCCCCCCCAGCCAGCCCCGGGACCCCCAGATCCCGTGGGTGGTCGATCCCATACCGAGGGATGGGACAAACTGCTGGGAAGGGGGTGGGGGGTCATTGGGAGGGGGGGGGCTGGTGGAGGGGGTCCCTCCCCCTCCGAGGAGCCCCCCACGCAGCCCTGGGGGGGCACCAGGATGCCCTGGGATCCCCCCCCTCAAAGATCCACGGTGTTGATCCCTGCCCAGCCACGAGGGGATGCGAGTGGGGTGGGTGATGTTTGGGGGCTGCCCTGCGAGGGGGGAGGTGGAAGGGGCGTCATCTCCCACCCCAGAGCCCCCCACCCAACCCTGGGGGGGGAGGGGGGGCACTGGATGCCCTGGGACCCCCAGATCCCTGCTGATCCCTGTGTTGATCCCTACCCAGCCACGAGGGATGGGAGTGGGACCGACTGCAAGGGAGGGGGAACAGGGTGGGCACACTGAAAGGGAGGGGTCTTTTCCCCTCGGAGGAGCCCCCCACGCTGCTTTGGGGGGCACCAAGACCCCCCCCCAAGATCCTCAGTGTTGATCCCTGCCCGGCAGGACCGGGAGACGCTGCCGGGAAGGGGAGGGGGCAGGGGGTGGGCGACATTTTGGGGGAATTCTCGTGGAAAGGGGGGGCTGGTGGGTGCCCCCCGTGACTCGAGGGGGTATCCCCACAGCAGGATCCATGGCGTCACAGCTGGAGGGGGCCATGGAGACCCTCATCAACGTCTTCCACCACTACTCCGGCAAGGAGGGCGACAAGTACAAGCTGAGCAAGAAGGAGCTCAAGGAGCTGCTGCAGAGCGAGCTGGGATGTTTCCTGGAGGTAACTGGGACCAGTTGCACCACTGGGAGGGGGTCTCCCCTTCTCCTCTTTCCCCACGGGCTCACCCTGTTGTCTCCCCCATCCCCACCCCCCCAGACCCAGAAGGACTCGGGGGCCGTGGAGAAGATCATGCAGGACCTGGATGAGAACGGCGATGGCGAGGTGGATTTCCAGGAGTTCGTGGTCCTGGTGGCCGCCCTGACCGTGGCCTGCAACACCTTCTTCTGGGAGAACGCCTGACCCACCCCGCCTTCCCAAAATCCAGAGAGCTCCCCCCACCCCCTGACCCCGCCACCCCCTCTCCGCTGTCCAGCATTCCCAGGGGATCCCGCTGGGATCCAGCTCCGCAATAAAGGCACCCACCCAGCCCAGGTGTTTTTTGGTAGATCCTTCATTCCCATTCCGGGGAGTTTTCCCTCTCGGGGTCACCCCGAGTGCCTGCAGACATCCCTGGCTCCACCCTGATCCGTGCAGGGAGCCCGGGATCCATCCTGGATCGCCCCGGGGAGCGGGTGATCCCGGGCAGTGCCGGGGTGTGGGACACGGGGACACCGGGATTTGGAAGGGGGTGACAGGTCAGGACTCGCTGCCGGAGCCTCCGGAGGCTCCAGGGCCGCGCCCGTGGGGCTGGAGGAACCGGTTGGGATCCCGGCGGGATGGGCCGGGAGCCAACGGCCCCGCCAGGGCCACCAGCGCCATCGTCTGCCGGGAATCACGGCACGGCAGGGCTGGGGTGGCATTGGGAAAGGGTCTGGGAATGGGAATGGGGTCCCCAGGGGGTCAAGGAGCACGCGGGCAACGTTACAAGGTTGGAATTTTGGTGGGATTTTGGGAGAGTCCTGTGTGGGGCCAGGAGCTGGACTGGGTGATCCTTTGAGTCCCTTCCAGCTGGGGTTATTCCATGATTCTGTATGATTCCAGGGTTACGTGATTTTACGATTCCGTGATTCCATGTTTCCGTTAATCCCCCATTCCTTTATTCTGTGGTGATGCCGCGGCAATTCCGTGATTCCACGGAATTCTGCAATTCCGTGATTCTGTGTCTCCATTATCCCAAAATCCCACAATTCCCCGATCCCAGGATTCCATGACGTCACCCAATCCACATGACGTCACCCCGCCCACATGACGTAAAAGCGAGAGCACAGTACCCGCCCTCTGGTCACGCCCCCCTTTGCCCCGCCCCGCCCCTTTCCCAGAGGGAGAACCAATCAGCGCCCTCCTTGTGGGGTTCGCGGGCGCGGTGGGCGTGGCCGGGCGCGCGGCCGCCATTTCGGAGGGGGCGGGAGCGGCGCCGCCGCCATTTTGTCGCGGGCGGCTGAGGGAGAAGCGGCGGCCGCGGCGGCGGGAGCGGGCGGAGCTCAGCGCCAGCCCCGGCCCCGGCCCCGCGCCGGCCCCACACCGGCCCCGCCAACACCCACCCGCCCGCCCGCCGGAGCCACCGGAGACCTGGCGACCGTCTGTTTCGGTGAGAAACTGCCCCGGCCGCGGCGCGGGGGGGGGAAGGGGGCGGGACAGGCCTCAGGGCCCCCTCAGAGCTCCAGAGTCCCCTCAGGGTTCTGAGGGACCCCTCTTGCCCCGGCTCCGTGTCCAGGGCTGTTCTCGGAGCTGAGGGGGGCGTAGCGAGGATACCTCCGCTCAAGGAAAAAAAAACGCTTTGAAAAGCACTTTATATTTTTAAAAACTCGTTAAAATTATTAAAATAATTAAATAATAAAATAATGTAATTATTAAGTCGAGGCTGCCTGTTGGCTCGATTCCTGGCTGTAAATCCTCTCCCAAAGAGCGAGGTTTTGAGGGTGTTGCTGTAGGGTGAGCGCGGCCCGGTCACCCACCCGTTAAAGTCGGCGCTAATTATAAAAAAAAAATAAATTAATAAATCGATCTGCAGAGCTCGGGGGTTGGAGCTCAGCACGTTTCTGTAGCATCCATCACTGGGGGGGGGGGGGATTTAAATCCCTGCCCTGGGTCAGGTGGAACCTCGGTATTTTTAAAGGATATGATGCTTTAGTAGCATAATTTTGGATTTTTTATTTCCCGATTTTACGCCCTGTGCCCTTGAAATTGGGGTTTGCCGCTTGCTGATGCTAAAAACGTGGGAAATGTGGAGGTGTTACTGTGCTAGAGGCATTTGGTTGCCATTTGCTGCTGGATTTTTGTATTATTACCCCAAATAGCAGGAGAATATTCACTATGAAAAGACACCTTTTTAGGAAGGGTGAAATAAAGTAACTCCCTGATTTATTAGGGCTAGGAAATACTAAAAATCAATTATAATTATACCCGTAACCTGCCTCTCTCTTGGTTCTCTCCACCCAGCAAGGAGAATTTTTTAACATATATTTAATTATATAAGTGTATAATCGCATAAATTTGATAGTTTTGGCTTGGTTTGGCAAATTTTTCTCTGAAGGTGCCATTTGTTTGCCATCCTGCTGCTGGATTTTTGTATTATTATTCCTAATACTGGTGAAGTAATGATTATAAAAAGATAAATTTTTGGTAAGGGTGAGTTAAAGTAACTCCCTGATTTATTAAAACTGGCAGAGGGGGGGCTACAAAACATTCCAAAAAAAAAAAATCACACAATCATCCTAAAATCATCACGATCAGCAGCTAAAAATTCCAAGAGAGGGCTGGAAAACACTAAAAATAAATGAATATAATACAGAGAGGAGCGAGGCAGGTTGTTTTTTTCTCCGCCCAGGGAGCAAAAAATGGAGGGATTCTTTAACATTTAATGGCAGAAACGTCGACTAAAAATGTAAATTCTCCCTTTTGGGCCCTGTTTTGCAGATTCTCTGAAGATGGCTGCACAGTCAGCACCGAAGGTCGTGCTAAAGAGCACCACCAAGATGTCTCTGAATGAGCGGTGAGGAAGCCAACAACGGCACCTTCAGCTCCTAAGAAACCGTGTCATTTTTTTTTTTTATTTTTTTATATTTTTTTTAAAAACAAACAAACAAACAAACAAAAAAAAATGCTTAATTCTCAGTGCCCAAAAAAAAATCCGAAAGCCCTCTTTAGAAAAAAAAAACAAAAACAAAAACAAAACACCTCATGGAGCCAGCAGGTGATTCCACACCTGCCTTTGGGTCAAAAAAAACAAAAAAAAAAAATAAAAAAGGGCCCGGTTTGCGGAGGGGATCGCCCCGCAGGTTGTAAATGGTTGGTGGCACCACGGTGTGTGGGATGTGTGCCGTAAAAAGAGCAGAGAGCGACCTCACACGCGCCCTCCCCGCCTCTCTCTCTCTCTCTCCCACATGGTCGTTGTTTATGATTATTATTATTATTATTATTAATTTTTTATTTTTGGTGGTTTTTTTTGACATCGGTATTTTGGGCTTGGCCGCCGCGCCCGAGGGTCCCACACCTTGCCCGGGGGTGGGAGCCCTGTAAGAGGCCGGTGGCGGCCCCCCCAACACCCTGGAACCGGCCCGAAGGCCCTTTTTGGGTCCTTGTAAGAGGCAAACGCTTCTCGCTTTCACCTCCATCCCTCTCCCTCTGTCCTCTCGCGCTCCTCCCTCGTGGGGTTCATTCCACGCTGGGTTTTCCACCTTGCGGCTCCTCTCGTGATGACTAACGGGGGAAAGGGGGGGGTTTCGCTGCCCTGCTGAGCGCTTTGGGGTTAATTCTATCACGGTTGAGAATTTTTGGGGCAGTTCTTGCTCCAGGGAGCTGTAGGCTGAGCTTACCAGCACATCAGCCCATATTCCTAATTTTTTAGGGGGTTTGTTCCACTCTTTGGCTCCCAGGATGCTTCATTTCGGGGGCTTCATTTACCATCTCGCTGCTCTTAAATTAAGTACTAAAACCAGATTCCCCCAAGTGGCCTCGTTTCAGGAAAACCTGTGGGTGGAAATTCAGAGGTGCTTTGTGGGGTGGAATTTTGCAGAATCATGGCATCCTGGAAGGTTGGAAGAGGCTTTAAAATCATCATTTCCAACCCGGTTGGAATCATTTCCAGAGCACACCAGGCACTTCCTGGCGCAGTGTCCTCCTCTGCTGCCTCCTGGCCTGGAATTTTTGAAGCTTTTCCCAGATTTTGGGGGGGGGGGGGGGGTATTAATTCAGCTTTTGCTATCCCGTTTCTCCCACCTGTCACGGCCATCCCTGCTTCCCGCTGGTTTGTCACCCCTTCTTGCCGCCTCTAAACCCGCTAAAACCCTCCAGCTTTCTCCATCCTGACTCGACTTTTCCACCTCATTCCTGCCTTTCTCCGGTCCTCGCGGCGAGCGAGGGACCCGCGATCCCGTCAAAAAGCGCCGCCCTTTTGCATAAGGTTCATGGGAGCTGGAGACCCACTCGAGCACCGTGAAAATGCCGATAGTTGTGTGGGTTTTTTTTTTTTAAGCTTTAATTAAACCCCGTTTTGTTCGACCTTGAAGCTTCACTAACATGCTGAAGAACAAACAGCCGATGCCGGTGAATATTCGGGCCACCATGCAGCAGCAGCAGCTGGCCAGCGCCAGAAACAGACGCCTGGCCCAGCAGATGGAGAACAGACCGTCTGTCCAGGCTGCTCTGAAGCTCAAACAGGTGAGGAAAAGCCGGATTTTTGGAAGGATGTGGAAAACCGGCTCCTCCTCGGAGATCAAAAAAAACCAAAAAAAAAGAGTCACGAGAAGAGAAGGGGCTGGAGGGGGTGAGTCTGTGAGGGATCGCTGGAAAAAAAAGGCTCGGGGAGGATCTTCTCTCAGCTCCCAGCAGGAGGGGCAGGTGGAATTTCCCCATGGAAAGGGTGGTCAGGCCTTGGAAAGAGTCCCCAGCCCTGGAAGTGGCACTGAGTGCTCTGGGCTGGGGAAAAAAGATTTTGATGGATCGAAGGTTGGGCTTGATGACCTTGGAGGTCTTTTCCAACCTCAGGGATTCTGTAAAAAAAAGCTCGTGGAGGTCTGAAAGGAGGGACACGAGGATGGGGAATGGTCTGGAGGAGCAACTGAGGCTCGTTCAGCTGGAGAAGAGGAGATTTGGGGGTGGCAGCTCCGTTCTGTGCTCTGTGTGAGCAGGGACAGGACCTGAGGGAACACCTGAAGCTGTGCCAGGAGAGGGTTAGGCTGGATTTTAGGACAAGGTTCCCTCCCCCAGAGGGCGGTGGGCACTGCCCAGGCTCCCCAGGGCAGTGGGCACGGCCCCAAGGCTGCCAGAGCTCCACGAGGGTTTGGACAACGCCCTGAGGGACAGGGTGGGATTATTGGGGTGTCTGTGCAGGGCCAGGGGTTGGACTCAATTCCTGTGGGTCCCTTCCATGATCCTAAAAACAAGACACCTTGAGGGACTGGCAGAAAACCCCACCTCTTACCTCATAGATGGGTAATTTGTCACCTCCCGGTGGTTGTTGTCGCCGTGGGGGGTGTTCAGTGCTGGCT